GGGCGGGTGTTAGTGTTCTGCCCTCCCTCTTGGCTCCGGCTGCTGGCAGAAACACTTCTGCTGTGAGGGCTTGCCTCTTGGGACCCCGTTCCCTTGGGCTGCCTGCAGCTGCGGCTGTTGCTCGTCTTTGGGGTCTTCCTTTCACGGGTTAGCGTGTAAAGAACCAGTGACTTGTCCAGACATGCTGGAGATGTACTCATCTTCCTCCTGTCGTCCTCTGTCAGAGGTACACGGGGAGCTTAGGTCTTTAAAGTTCTTTACGTGTAGGAGAGCTTAACAGTAAATAAACTGCTAAAAGCTGTTTTAGGTCTGTTACAGGAATTGTTCGTTATCTTACGTGAAAAGTTGCTTGCCGGTTGATGGTACTGTGCTGTGCTGCAAGAGGAAGACGTTTAGGCCCGAGCGACTGCTTTGCTGTGGAGTATGGTTCTGCAGTGTTTTGAAGTGATGACTTTTGGTCAACCGTTTTCCCATGTGACCTAGAGTAATGCCAATACGGCCAACTTAGAAAAACTGTTAAATTCTGTTGTATTAGGAGTAGGTAGTCTCCACACTGCATTTACGCTCTATTCCAATTTACACAAATGAGTAACAGGTCATGTTTGTTTCTCAGCTAAAATTAGAATTTTTTTGCGGTTTTCTTGTCATATTGGTGAAAAACTGCACTCTGCTTACCTCTTTAATTTTTCTTGACTTGCCCTTCCTTTCTGTTTTTACTCTCTACAGTCTTTGCCTGTAATTTAGCTTGTTGGCATGGAAAGTAATACTGATAATATACTGAATTGTTACTACCCTAGTTATGGTAATAGATGGCTGGAGTCATGTCTGCTATTTGAATGATACTTGGGGTTTAAGTACATGAAGAAGTACTGTGAGTAGCTAATCGAGACTTTAGTTTTCCCATGGAACAGCTGACGTGCTCTCACCGCCTGTCAGCTTGGGCTTGCCTGTGGTAAACACAGGGCAAGAATCTCCATGTAAGCAGCTCTCACAGAGCAGCAGGTGTGTTGTAAGGTTATGTCCTAGCTTGTTTTGTGGTAGTTCATTCCTTTTCCTTACTTAAAATATTATTTCTGTAGTTGCCGCAGATATGTTAACCAAATCCTTAGTTTCTTTGTGATTTCTGTTGCGTAAGTCTCCCCGACTTTAAATGCAGCAGATGCTTCATGGTTCTTGAGAAAAGCTGAATTTCTGGCAGTTGTTACAGGGGTTGCAGCTGCTGTGATGTTCTAAGAAAAACAGGGCTGCAGTAACTCCCACTAGATTAAGGTGGATCAAGAATTCTTGAGACTTGCTTACAGGAGAAACAGGAGGTTGGTCATTTGTTTGTTTTTCTGTCAGTTGTCAACATGTTTAGTAAAAATTGATTCTTGTTTCTTCACAGAATTGTTTTAAAAGAGAGTACAGAGCAAGATTCTGCCGTGGAAGAGGGTAATTTACATTTAACATTTTATTCTTGGGTACAATTGTTTGGAAAACGTATGATGATGTTTTTCTCCAAGAGCTTAATATCAAAACTATTAGGTGTATGTTAGTAAGCTGATCATATGTTGTTTCCTAAACTTGTATTTTTTGGTGGTGGGAGAAGCAAATTGTGCTGGGGGGATGAAGCATCAAGGGTTTCCTTTGTATTTCTTTGCTGGGGCAGGGGACTGTGGTGTAGCTATACCTAAGCTAGCCCTATCTAGGCTGCCTGAGCACAGAAATAGTAGTCTATGCAAACATTTTGCCTTTTAGGTGGTAGAGGGATGAAGCCCACACAGAGTTCTAGCTTACTTGGCCCTTGCTGGTAAATGTTAAACATGAGTATTTGCAGTGCTGTAGCTTTCTTTAAAGGCATGTCATAAGCCTGTGAGCTTTTTGTTACTGTAATCCATTTTTAGACATGCATTTCATGATCTGACCAAATGTACCAAATTATCTGTTTTTAAGGGCATATAATAATCATGGAGGAATACTCTATGGCTTTTTTTATGTTATTTTGGTTTTGATTAACATGTTCTGGCTAGTACGTCACTTCTGCCATCTTCATTTGTGCTGGGGAGGTTTGAAATAGTAATCCAAGCAGATGAGCTGTTTGCTTGCTTATGGATTTGATACCACAAGCCAGTTCTTGCTGCTGAAACTTTTGTAGAAGCTCAGAGTAACTGTGGATAAGTGGTAGACAGAGAAGCAGAGATGACTCCTTGTATGAAGGGATAGATGTCTATGCATTTTATTTCTAGGTTTGCTGAGGCTGGGTCGCTGTGCAGGCAATATTACTTGAGGACTGATTTTAAAGAACATATTTCAAGAGACAATCTGTAATCATAGAACCATAGAATGGTTTGGGTTGGAAAGGACCTTGAGCTTATCTGGTTCTAATCCCCCTGCCATGGGCAGGGATGCCTCACCCTAGACCATGTCTCCCAAGGCCCTGTCCAGCCTGGCCTTGAACACTGCCAGGGGTGGAGCATTCACCATTTCTTTGGGCAGCCTGTTCCAGTGCCTCACCACCCTCACAGTAAAGAGCTTCTTCCTTGTATCTAACCTGAACTTCCCCTGTTGAAGTCTGAACCCATTACCCTTTGTCCTATCACTTACAGTCCCTGATGAAGAGTCCTCTCCAGCACAAAGCTTTTCTACCTGAGAGCTGTTGCAATACTTATGTGTTTTATGTAGAAAGATTCTTCATTCTTGTTATATTCTGTGGCATTGGGCTTTTTCTCCTGTAATCCTTATAAATAAGGATTACAGAAAACAAGTTTCTTTGCAGGTACCTGTGCATGGAAATGATAGGTAAAATATGTTAAAGTTGGGACTAGTAGAAATAATCTAAAATATTAAGTAGCAAGAATTGTGCAGCTTTTATATTGCTGGAATAGGAACATTTAATGTTTTTAATTGAAAATGTTTTATTTTTTCCCCTCTTATTCGTAGAAATAAGATTGCTGTAGAGCCAGGTCAAAATGTACTGAAACTCATCCAGGACTGTTTCGAAAGTAAGCTTTGATTTGGTGTTTTGTTTAATTTACTGGTTAATTTCATGGTCAATAACTAGTAATAAAAAGAGATAAAATGAGTAAAAATAAAGTCTTTCTCACAATCTTTTAAAGCAGTCCCTTCTCAGCCACTTAAATGTGTGTCTTAGCTGTCTTATAAAGGTAATCTTTTTCCTGAGTAGCTGGTTTCTTTCTTGTTTGCATTTATGTGACCTTACTAAGCCTTAACAACTTGTTGAAATAAGTAAAACCTTGACAACTCGAAGAATCCCTTACTTAAAATTTTTTCTTATAGGTTGTGGCAATGATCTTAAAATTGCCTCTTCAAGTCCAACCTGTTGCTCAACTCCTATTGTCAGAAATGAGAACAGGGCTTCGAGGGTAAGTTAGTTATGGCAGGGTCACAACATAGCGTTGGGTAGTTTTACTTGGGTACAAGTTTAGTTCTGTATGAGTGTTATATGCATAAGCTTCATATGTCACTTGAATTCATATATAGGCTATAGTTTAACCTTCTGTAATAGTTGTTGGTAATGCTTTTTTCTCAGTTTGTTGTGCTATAATAGTAAATATTCTATAACTAGATTTATTTAACAGCTTATTTTCTTGTTTTTTTTTTTTCTAATAAAAGCTTTTTCAGCTTTTCGCTAGGATTGTAAAATCTCTCATAGGCTTAGGTTGAAGCATGCTGTCTTTTAGTTGGTAGTGAGTAAGGCTGTTTTGGACTCCTTTGGGATTGGTTTCAGACACTTTACCACATATATGGACACAGTTCTTAGGTATCCAGAGGATAGTAGAATTGAAAGTTGTTTCTTGCATAAAAGCAGCTTGTTGACTCCTGATAAAGTTACCCATACAAAGACTTTGTATATCTGTAACTTTGTTGAAGAGAGGAAACTAGTCGAATGTCTTATTGATGTGCTGTCTCAGAATTATGCCAATAATCTAGTTTGTATATTTAATTATAATATTTTGATTCTAGTAATCTTTTATCAAAATAGGATATTCTATTAATGGCAGTGTTGAGAATAGGCATCTTTTATAATGGTGTTTACTTCAGTCAGATGTTAGAATACTGCATGATCTCAAAATAATTCTTGCAAAACCTCAGTCTGACTTAACGAAGATGAATTAAGTTGTTTAAATTAATTCCCTCTAGTGGACTATTGGGTTGTCTGTTCAAAGCTGCAAATCAATGGTTACTGTGCACACAGTTTTACCTGTTTGAAATTTACAGTTAGTTTTAGAAGGTGTTAAGTGATAGAAAATGGAAGTGTTTAGTTAGAAATGTGCTTCAAATAAGTAAGAATTAAGGGAAGAAAATTATGTTGTTCTGTAGAAATTTATATACCTGTCAAAACACTGTTGCTATATAAAATATTTTACTTTGTCTCATTATTCATTATTGATTATGCAGTCAACGGCAGGGTTAACTAACTCTGTGAAAAGTGCCTTTAATTCTGCAGAGCCCTTACCTGCATCACCAGTAAAACCAGTCAACAGCAGAGGTTGGTAGCACTATTATTGAATTAAGGTTTTTTTGGGTAACTTTCACGAGGTTTTTTAAGGTTTTGAGTAGAATTAAACCTATTTTATTTATATAGCAGGATGGTCACATGAATCACCTCTGAAGCCTGTAATATGTGATGATGTAGCTGATTCTAAACCCCCAGAGTCTCCAGTGTCTACAAGAAAAACAAATGATATATTAAAAAATGTTGAAGCACTATGCGGAAGTCCTGCCATGTCTTTGAACCCTGAGGATGATCATGGGAGTCTTGGATCGCTTTTTGTGGAGGAAGCAAAAAGTCCTCCTGTACATACGTAAGTAGATCTGTATGTAGTGGTGGTGGTATCATGTGTGTTTTCCCCTCTTAGGGTAAATTAACATGGTGGTTTCAGTTGTTTATGAGTTTGGATTTTGAAGTAGAAAAAGAATAATTCCAAGCTTTTGAGAAAATTTTCGTATTTGGGTTTAGAAAGGGCAGAATTGTTTTTTATTAAATATTCTGGTGATAAGGGTTAATTCCCAGAAGTGCAGTACCCAAGTACAGGAAGCATGTCAGAACAGATTTTGACTCCTTTTTCACAGAAAGTGCACCAAATTGTCAACTTCTCAAGTAGTCTGGACTTTTTCAGTGAGTCCTATGACAGTTAAAAAATCTGTTAAAGCACAGATGAGCAGTCATTGTTCCTCTCACTCTGAATATACTGATGTTTTATATAAAGTAGAACAACTTCAGTTTGATCATTACCTCCTCTCTGGAAAATTTGAAGTCCAGCTGCAAGAGTGGCCAGTGGTCCCAGCCACAGTTCTGTTTTCCTTGGAGGGCTCACTCTCCAGGCTAGATCATAAAGGGGGGCTGACACTGGTCCTGTTAGATCCCATTGACTCCCATTGGTGGAGTGAGATTGGGAAGAAAGTGCACCTGGGGTCTAGGAAACCTGGCAGTTTCTGAATCACATTCTCCTAAAGTTAGGAATTGTTCTTGCTGAGCAGCCCTTACTTTGATCGAGTCACAGGCTGGCCCCATGTTGCCTCATTGATTTAGATGCTTGTTACTATGCTGGAAAGTAGTACAGCTAACCTGTGTTCCAGCAAATTATCAAATGGAAGCCCATTCGTGAGAAGTGAGGCATTGTCAGCAGGAGAAAATGAGAGCATCTGTCCATCCACATGATGCTTTAATGTGCACTCAGAATTTATAGCAAATTTGAATGCTGTTTCTCATACATAGATTACACTTTGATGACCAAAATCCTCCTGCCGCAGTGAAGAGCCACATGGAAGTTGAAAAACTGGAAGGACCTCAGACTGGGAGAGATGAACAGGTTGTTCTCATGAATGGAACAGAATGTACTGCTACGTCTTCTGTACAGAAAAGGAAGTCTTTCTCTTCGGTCATCTTAGCGGCTGTAGCAACAGAAACGCTTGGAAAAAGGTTTGTTTTGAGGCTTAATAGGGAACATAATTTGCTAGTAAAATAACTCAGTCCTGACTACTGGAACAACATCCTTTTACATGTAAACATGGTCTGGGAGAAATGTCAGTCTATCCCAAAACATACTGAGAAATGCCACTTAAGACAGGGTTTGAGTAATTGTTTCAGAGTTTTGTGCTGTTAAGATTTAACAGTGGTGGTGTTTTTGTCTGCCAGTAAAATAGCGTGTAGCTGTTGACTAGTGTTTCAGGTTGAGCCCGAGATGTTTTGATAGATAGGTTGAAGGATTCAGGAAAACCTTATGTGATTCTGAAGTTAGCAGTGATCAAACAGACTTTTTCAAAGCTAATATGGATCTGACCAGTCACATAGGAAACTGACTATCCAGCATCTGAGAAATAATGAGGTGTGCATATGAGGATGAAGCAGGGAGAAGCAGGCCTTGTGCTCTATTTGGAAGCTAAACGGCAATGAATGATAAACTTCATAGTTACCCTTCTGAGGAATATCCTGTAGCATGTTTAGGTGTTCTAGAGGCATCACTAGATTTGCGAGATTTTGATTCATTTTTCCCCCCCCCAGATAATGTGAATATTTTGTCCCTCCTTTAGGTATTCAGCCTCAATATCACTGCCATCACATCCTCCTGTGAAAGATCAATATATAGAAAATGATTGTGATTTTTTCATTGATGAATCACATGACGTATCTTTTAATTCTTTCTTTTCAATACCCCGTAAAAACAAAAAATCAAGAAAAGCTAGCTCTGCAACTCCTGTTTCTGAGTTTCAGCCCTCTGAAAAGAAGACGGAGGGTAAGAAAGGCAAGAACGGAAAAGTACACGTTGAAGCACTTACTAAACAGAAAATGGATGATTTGGATATCAGAATAATACATGAATTGAAAGGATCGTCAGAATCAGATTCCATCTCTGACAGTGAAGGAGGGGTTCTTAAATCTCAAAGGCAAAACATTACTCATCTGGGAAAGAAGAAGACAGAGGGTAAGAAAGGCAAGAACAGAAAAATACACATTGAATCACTTACTAAACAGAAGATGGTTGATTTGGACATGAGAATGCATGAATTGAAAGGAACATCAGAATCAGATTCTGTCTCTGACAGTGAAGGAAAGATTCTTAAATCTCAAAGGCAAAACATTACTCATATGGGTAAGTTATTTAACAGGTCTTTAGACTTCTTCCTGGTTGTATGGCTGGATTTTTTTTGTGGTGGTTTATTTGGGAATAAGGCTAAAGTCGATGAGTGACATTAATGGATTCCATCTTGATGTCTCAGTTGCACAGTTTGGTGTGGGTGTGTATAAGGTGGTGAGACAGAGTGTCTTCACAACCCACCCCCTACCTGGCCCTTTCTGTTAAGACATTAAAAAATCAGTTAGCAGTGTTGCCTTTTCTTATGAGCAGAGAAGGTAGCTACCCATGAGCTTTTGCTCCTCTCCGTGTAGAAAGGAAGTTTGAACTGGTGGGGATCAGTTTTTAAGAATTATTTGAGAAGGGTTTTGTAGCAGGAAGCCCTGAAAACTGGAAAGCAAATTGAATGTGACATTTCTGCTGTTTTTTGTCTGCTGGGAAGTACACTGAAAATTCTGGTTTTAATTTTTTTATATACTGTAGTTCAGAGAAAGCCTTCTTTAAAGAGTCAGGGAAAAACCTGCTTTTGTGATACTTTTTAAAAATTACTATTCTTTGGTTTATTTTTATGTTCAATTATTATATATCTTTGGGTTTAATGAGAAAAGATATTAATGTCCAACTGTTTTATGTATTGATAGGAAAGACTAAAAAGAATGCACTTAAACGAAGCTCTCCAAACAAGGGAAAGGACTCATCCTGGAAACCAGAAGCCAAAAAGTCTATGTTGTCACAGTCCGGATTGGAAACAAAAGCACGTGATGCAGAACAATGTAAAACAGTGGTGATGCCAAGCGAGGATTCACTTATGTCCTCAGCTGGGCACCAGCAAGAGCGGACTCTGTCTCCAAAAAAGAATCTGAAGTCTTCCAAGAATTCATGGTCAGCTTCAAAAGCTTCTCAGCATTTAGTACACAAGAAAAAATCTGTTAAGCAGAAACTTCCAAGAGATACAGTAGCTAAGAGACTGACAGGAAGTCTAAGGAAGACGCTTAAAAAACCTATCAAGAAAAGTAGTGATAGAAAGCCTCAGTTACAAACAGAGGAGATTTCTCACAGTGTATCCACTGAAGAAGAGCTTGAAAGTGAGCCTGTAAAACTGGATGAAGTGTTTACCTCACCCCTGCATCAGAAATTAGAGAATTCTGTGATTCAGAACTTGGCTAAGTCTGAAAAGCCTAAAAATGTATTGCAGACTGTGGAGTCCCTTGGTGGTGCAAGTAACAAAACTCCTGTAAAAGCACTAGAGCATCTTTTAGACAGTGTGAAGAATTCTAAAAAGAAAAGGTTGTCAGCTAAGTCTTCAGAGAAGATACCCAAAAACAGTCACTGCAGAAACAGTGAAGGTATTTGCTCAGACCCTGAGGACAATAGATCTCAAATGGATTCTATCAGCAATTCCGTACAGGAAATTACGAAGGAAAACCACAAGTTATCAGATGTGAAAATAAAAAGTAACAAAAGAAAACGTAAAGCACAACACGGATTACCGTACGTTTGTTTATGTAATTCCTTACAAGTGCAGTGTAACTTGGTAGATAATTAAATACATCTTGTTAACTTTTAAGCAGTAATGGCCAAACTGAACTATGTGATAGTTTCAGTCTGTTTGAATAGCTAACAGGGAAACCAAATGGTGTAATCAGCCTAGTCTCAAAGGTGGGTGCCAAATCTAGTGTCTGCTTCTACATAAGGAAACTTGTGCTGGATTTTTTAATGTGTTCTTTTGAGACTTGAGTAGCAGATCCAGTTCAAAACCAAATAAAGTAAAAAGCCCACACATGTGCACACAAGCCCACCACCTATAGAATGACTTCACTGTCAGGTTTGTTTCTTTGTTTATAAATAGAGAAAATACAGTGGTTTAACTCTTCAACTATATTTATTTCTGTAGAATTAACTTTACTATGGATTGGTAATCAAAAGAGTAAGTCTGTTTAACCAGGCTAATTGAGATTTTAATTACTTTTCTTTGCAGTGCTTTTTAATTGTTTTTTATGATTCTGTTCACTACCTAATATTATTGACATACAGGTTCCTTTTAGTAAGTAAAATTGACTTAACAGTAAACATAATAATACGTTTTTTCTCTTTTAGAGATTCCTTTGCAGCTGTGAAGTCTACATGTCATGAAAGGTAATTTCCTGAGTCGTCTGTAAAACTGGTATTTAATCTCAGTTCTGCCACACTGAGACAGAGCAGCTCTTTGGTACTACTACTGCCTTCTGTGTTCTGCTACTGAAAAACCTAATAGAAAGGAATCATGATTCATGCCTGAGGTGTTTAAATACTTTGCTAATACTGTTAATAAATTAATAAATAAGGAGTCATAGTAAGTTTCTTGCCTTTGAGAATTCTTTTTCCTTTGAGGCTTGCTTCCACATTAGTGCATCATTTTTGAACAGAAATACTAGTGCTCCTAGAAATAACTACTGTACTAATAAAGTTGCTGTTAAGTAGGGTATAGAACTGTATCTACAATCCAAACTCTTGTTTGTGCACGTAGGTATGCATATACCTTCTCCTTCATGGGGTGGGAACTTAGTAACAAAGCAAACAGGAGTGGTGGTCTGTGAATATATTAAATTCTTATTTTGTAATTCTACTGAAAATTTTAATTTAGTGAACCTTTTCCAGACTTGGACACATTTGTAATGCAGCTTTGCAAATCTAGCATTGAAATGCACCTTTTGGAGTTTAGGTGGATCACAGCTGAATTTCTTTGGCTTGGTAAAAGCAGTAAAGCACAGCCACAGATAGGTGATGGCTGAAAAGCTAGGGATACTAATGCTAAGTTTATAAGGGAAGTCCTGTTAGAAGTGACTTGATTGCTGGAGAATCTCTGGTGGAGTTACATACACATTAATTATTGTCATTTTATGGGGAAAATTTTATGTCAGAATGCATACTACAAATTACAATTATAAATTATTTTACTGTCCTTTCATTACAGTATGCAAAATATTTCCTTAAAGCAGTTCCATAATAATGTTTTGTGGAAAATAGTTTGAAGAGTGGCGCTACAGAGGAGCGGAGAAGGTCTCTTTGTTCTGGAAGGGAGAAAAAAGAAGTTGTTAAAAGATTAAGAAACCTGTTTAGAGGGAAGGTGTGGGCACTAGTTTGTCTGCCTAAAGACCAAGCAGAGAAGCAATCAATGAATTTTAGACCTGTGACTCCTAACTAGCAGTCATTTGCTTCAGTGTCTAATCAGTACAGACAGATGTTTAGAAGGAAAAAAAAAAAAACCTCTCATGATCTGAAACAACCCCAAACCTTAAATTTGCTATTTTTGGTAGTGCTGTAATGTTCCTTTGCCATTTAACATATTCAGGCAGGTGTATTTTTTTTTTTTCCCTTTGAAGCGGGCCTGTTCTAGAACATTGTGATAAATTTGCTTCCAGAAGTCAGTCTTGTGAACAGGATAATATATCCTCAGGTAATGTTTAAAGTTGTTATTTTCTTTTATTTTACGTATAAGCTTCTTAAAAGTTGTATTTGATGGTACAGTAATTTCTGTTGTGCTTGTCCAGGAGAAGAAATGCAGATTGTAATGGCTCTGGTTAACCTCTGTCAAAATCCATGATAGAGTATTTGAGCTTTACCAAGTGTTAGCTTTGGAAGAACAAGCACTACATGGTTTGGCATCAGGCCTGCCAGGATAAAGTTGTCCTTTCAGCATACTTTGAACACAATTTTTAGACTCAGTTTGTACCAGGTTGGTGTGTTGCCATGTGATGGTACTATATTTGATCACCTAAGGCCAAATTGTACGGCTTTGTGTAATCGTGGCTGGTTTGCCTAAAAATACTTCAGGTGTTTTTTCCTTTTAAGTTTCTCTGCACATATTGTACATGTACATATTGTCATAATGAATATGAACCGTAGGAATAGGAGGTCTTTTATTAGTGGTTTAGAACCACTTGTGAATGTTATTCATTCATGCAGTGCTTTGCTCAAAGACATAGTTTTGTGTGTGTTCTGATAAGAATTTTGTTCTAAAGTCAGATTTGAGTGGTATAAAGCTGAATGACCTTTCACTATGATCAATAAAATGGTATGTATAGTTATAATTTGCCAATGTTTGTTTTATCAGAGGAATGGGCCGGAGAAATACTTACTTGAATGTGTAGTTTTCAGGTAATTTTCAGTCTTACACTGCTTAAAAACTAATTACATATACTGTTTATCTGCACTGGGTTTCATATGTGTTTAAAGGGAAAAAGGACTTCTGTTTGTATTACCTTTGGTTGCTTCTAGTGGGTATAGTGAATAAAAGTCAGGAATAGTATATTCTTACGGTTTTGGGTTTTGAATGTATTTTCAGATAATTCTGAAAGTTTGGACAGTCAAATACAACATCTGTTGTCAGACAACTTAGCAAGACATAAAATAGGTAAGATTATTTTAAAATATCTTAGTGTTAAGTTCATAAATACAAATGCATTGCCAACTTGATGTAAACTTTGCTGAAGAAGGCACAGGAAAGCACTTAGAAATGGGTTCATATGTTGGTAAGTGGTTACAGGTAAGGCTTGTAGTTCTTCAGTGTACATTAACCCTGCTCTAATTTTTAAATTACTTTTAAAAACTTCTAGGGTTTTTTTTTTTTTTTTTTTTTTTTACTACTGTACTCAGTTATCTTTTTAACTGTCACATTTCTGTTTTTCATTTAATATTGAGTCAAGACACTTACAGTTCAGTGAGAACAGTAAGAGTTTGAATTAGTTTTACACAGTATAACTGAGGGTGCAAATAACCTGCCTTCTGTGGTGGTCTGAGTCCGGATAGGACGAAGCAATGGGCAAGTTGATTGTAGTCCCATACTAGTATGTTTTATTGTTTTTTTTTTATTCCCTTCATTAGTATATTATGCACAACACTATAGTTGTATCTGCCTTCAAAAACTATTGCAGCAAGTTATTTACCATTTAAATATTCTTGACTAACTTGCTCTCAACTCTTAGGGGGCTTTTATTGTTTCTTACAAACAGTAGAATGTTGAATCATACATATTCATATATGGCAGCTTAGACAAACTGAAAGTTGAGACTTAGTAATAAGTAAGATAAATACCTGAGAAGTCTTGGAAATGTGTGGGGTTTCTGTTGGCAAAAGTGCTGCTCTTCTGGAAATTGGAGATTGGTCTTGAGAATCTGGAAGCTGAGAGGCTGCTTATGCATTCTCTATTACTCTCCTCTCACATTACCAAGGCAGTGCCTTTTCACTGGTGCTAATGAAATCCTTCAGATTTAGGCAGGGTTCTAAGTCTTTGTTGAGAGCTGTGTCTTCACAGTTGTGGCATGTTTGCTGCTACTTGTGCTTGAGACTCTAATGTCCATATCTCAGATTCACTAAGATAGAATGAAATCTAATATGAAGTCAGCATGATGACTTTAAGAAAAAGGAGAATAAATATTGGTGTATGCAGACAAATGCTTTTGGCAATGCTTGATTCCCTTTTCCTGTCATGATAGCAGTGTGATACAATTAGCAGCTGGGAAGTGCTGACTTGCTGATACGGAGCAACAGGAAAGGATATGTAATGTTTTCCATTTCTCAATTTTCCTTTCATACTTAATGTGAATGACTTCATCCTTTAAATTAGTAATGCCTTCCAACACACCTAATGTTCGTCGGACAAAAAGGTTACGACTGAGACCTCTGGAATATTGGCGAGGCGAGCGTGTGAACTATACGATGAGGCCTTCAGGTACTACTTCCAAAATACCTATTTGCCTTTTCCTCGTAGAGCAGTAAAGAGAAATTTGTGGATTGATCTTGTGCTGTGAAAGCTTTGAGATGCTTAGTATTTGGTAATTTTTATTAAAAAGTGGATCATTTATGGTCTCCAGCTATTTAGTCATCTTTCTGTGTAGTCTTTTTCTCTTCTGGTACTCCTGTGTCAGCTAGAAATAGTATCAGCCTTGCCTTAACTGTTTAGAGAAGAACAAAATGTTTCTCTGTGCTAGTAGGTTTATTACATCAAATATAATACTTTGCTACTGGAAAAAGAGAGAGTCTACTGGATCATTCATTGGAGCACTTCTCTTTGTGTGAGGATTGTTCTCCAGAGTAGATATTACAGTATTTTGTCTGGTGTCAGTGTTAAATTCCTCAAAGTGATAGAATAGATCTTCAGGGTCTGATCTGAATAGATCTGATGTTCTCAGGGATTTTTTTTTTTTTTTTTTTCTCTGATAATTCAGCCTATTTTGGTCCTTTTCTAATCAATCAGTCTGCTTGAAAATCGTATTTCTTTGTGTCCCTAAAATTGATGTTTTGTCTTAAAAACTACTCTATGTCATGGCTTTCTGAAATGTTCTTTGACTGAAATATGATCAAATTCTTTTAAAAAAAAAAGTCTCAAGATGCATTGCAGTCCAAAATACTGGATGTTGAAAAGCTTTCTGGTTTGTTCTGACTTTCTAAAGCGATCTGAAAATTTCGACATCAAGGAAATATATTCTCAACTGAAGTGCTTGTTGGTTGTGCAAGTCTGCATTCTTGAAAAGTTATGACTTAACGAACTTTGTTTAACTTTCTTTTGTTTCAGGAGGGCTTGTGATTAGTGGAATAGTGTGTCCAGAACCAGAACCTTCCAGGAAGATTAAACAGAGGAAGGGTAGTCACAAGCAGAGAAAGGATGAAAGAAGTACGAAAACAGTATAAATACAGACTTTTTTGTCTTCTGATACTTTAAAAAAAATAAAGTACTTCCATTGCTGTAAGATTTTCCTCCTGTAAAAAAATGAACCTATTTCTGCATAATAAATGTATTAATGCAGTGATGTGGGAAAAAACTGTTCTTACTGTATGTATAGCAGTCCTGTATAATCTCGTAGAAACTTTAACTTCTCAACATTACAAAGGAAGAGGTAAACTTTTGGCCATTGATGAGAGACAGGCTCCTGGTCTAGCTCAGCCTTTCCTCTAAGTACAGTCTGTGTTCTAATACAAATAATTCTCAGCCCATGTAAACCTGAGCTGGTAGTGACTGTTCATACTGTATCATACAAGGTGCTTTAGGTGCATTTGAACTGTATTCCAGAAGTGTTAGATTTCCTCTTTAACAGACATTCACCCTCACAGATAATCTTTGGCTTGCATCCTTGAATTTTAAGTGATGCATATAATGACCATCAGCTGAGTAGAATTTCTAGGACAAATTCGTAAGTTTTTTTGATATGATAAAAATTCTGTGTTCATAGCTATATAGAGTTGCACCACCTGTTGCTGCTTTTTAGAAAGAGATGATTATGTTGGAACAAAGCTATTTCAAACACAGGAAGTTTCTTCCTACCCCTGACTGTTGTGGTGTAAGAGTATTTAAGCAGCCATGAGTGCTTTATCAGCCACAAAGTGCTATAGCCTGCCTTTTAACATCCATGTTCTGACTGCATTTAAAGACATTTTCTGTGCATTAGGGAGTTTAAATTATCTGCTTAAGAGAGTTCTGCAGGAGAGCTTTGGGATATTTATGCTGTCATGAACATTCTCCAGTGTCTCTTTTCTATTTGAAAAGTGTAAGGTTGTCTTCAACTCTTAGGCTGTTTTCTTCTCTGGAAAAATCCTTTTTATTATAAAAATAGTTCTCTAATTTACAGCTTCAAGTGAGATTCGTGTAATGGCATTTCTTGAAAAAAGTAAAATTGAACATGTGCTTGTTCTTTTGAACACTTTATCTCTTAAGTGTCCTGACACCTGTCAGCAGTAGGTAAAAGGGAAAAACTTGCTCTTCATACATCATGTATTTTGTATCCTCTCAGCATCTGTTGCTAGAAAAGCACTTCTCTTAAAACATGCATACTTTTAAATAAATACTGTCATCAATAGCATAGGATAAATAGCCAGCATTCTCCATGAAAATTCTTTAGGATTTTAGAGACCCTTTATCTAATACACACAAAAATAATTCCAATGAAAACTACATTTTCAGAGAATTGTTATGGAAGGTTTCCTTTTATTTCAAGAAAGTGTATTCAGTCTGTTTATTCACTTAAACCAAATTTAAGTACTTATGCGTGAAATCTAAAGTTGTAGAAAAGTTGTGGTTAAATAATCAAGTTTTTAAAACGTAGAGTGATTATTTTTCTAGTTTTTGTTATGGTGGGTTTTTGTTTTGTCTCAGAACATGAGATACCTGCAAATTTGGATCACAGCCTAGCTGATACTTCTAAGCCAACTGTTGTAGTGGACCCAGTAACAAGTCAGGAAGTACTTCTAGGTAAGTTGAAGGGATGTGACCAAGGGCCTGTCTGAATTCTGTAGTTAGTGTTTAGACTGATAAGGAGAAGAACTGTTTGTGCCACACTGGGCATAAAAGGGTGAGCTGTTGAAATATTCAATGCTCTTCTGGTGGAAATTCTGAGGGAGAGACAAAAAAGCATCCTGATTTCTCATCTAAATGCTGAGTCTAGCGCTCGGGGGGTGTTACAGTGAAACAATATGTAATGCGTAGGATTTAATAGGTAGTTAACTGAGCTAGTAACAAGACTAATTATGGGTTAGTATTAATGTTGATCTTCTGGACTTTCTTGTAGAATGTATTAACACTGAAAGCAATCACGCGTGCTTCTTCAAAGATGAATCCATAGAAATATATAAAAAATTGAATACATCTGCTTTTGCCACTGGTAAATTGATTTTGAAACCATTTAAAGAAAAGGGACATCAGTTTGTCCACATGGATACAATAGTAAGTATGATTTTTTCTTACGTTTATAAAATGGACTATCTAAACATAAAATCTTAGAATGGTTAGAAGTGCATACAAAGTTGGTAGGTTTTTCAGGGTTTTCTCCCACTATACTGCAAATAAATACAGGAAACATTAATGAATCATTTCAGTTGTGAAATCAGTTATAACCAAAGAAACTTGCTACAAGCACTCTGCATGCATGTGGCCCTGCTTTGCTTCACATTAAATCTGTATGTCAATGAACACTTTCTGTCTAGATCTTGCAGGCAAGATAGAAGTATCTAGCTTACCTGGTTTTTGGTTTTGTTACAGCATGTATGCAAAACAAGGAGTATATTTTCTTGGATAACTGTCTTAAATGTTTCCAAAAGAAACATTACTAACTTTAAAACCCTTTGGCTTTCATTAAGGCTTTCCATATTGTCTGTGGCGAAGTTATTGTTACATTACATAAGACATCATACTATCTGACTGCAGGGGACGACTTCTATGTTCCAGCAGGTAAGTACATGTGTTTAAAACCAGTCTGTGGGACATAGATGAGGCTGAGTTAGCAAGTTGGGAGGCAAAACTGAGCTGAATGATGGGAAGAGGTATCTTTGAGTAGAGAGTGGGAAAGCATAGGGTTGTGAAGAAAGGAATGTGAACAAACACTGTCTGTGGGTTGATGATCTAAGCTTTGGATGCAGCGATACACTACTTGTTTATGTGAGTTGGCCTCAAAGTTAAAGTTCTAAGAGTGACTTTCTTTTGGTATTCTGGTGCTGTCCCTAGCTATAATGGTAGGGAAACTTTAGAGGCAGCTTAATATATAGTGGTAGTTAATGTAATTGTTTTGGTTGCTATGTGTTTGCTATTTTTATTACATAAAATTGTGAAAATCCATTTGGACCAGTTCACCACCTTTTTCACTTTGTGCTTGATACATGAAAGGTGCAGAATGTCTTGTTGAACGGGTTGTAACTCCATGGGGGTTGTCAAGAATTTAGACAGGTGATACTGCCCTTCTGAGATAAAAGTGGAATGAATTTTCCTCCATATGGGAAGTTGTTCTTCAGTGGGTAAGATGCAAGTCAGAAGAGTTTGTAGTGGTTGTAAAGCAGGCAGTTCATGGAGGCTGTAGAGCGCTTTTGTACACTTTCTTGGGAAGAGGCTATGTTAGAAAATGACAAGGTACCACTTGTTTTTCCATTAACTTTTCACCAGAACATCCTGATTGAACAGTCATTGTTCAAATAATGTTTGATGCTTTGAAGCTGTTTTCTGTTTATTTGAATTTTAAAAGTTTAGGGGTCTGCAGAGACAATTTGGTGGTTTGCTTTCTGGAAAAGCAGATTATATAAATTGGTGAAAGTTCTGTGTGGCCATAAGGATCTATACTTCATTTCCATTCTTCCCTGCTTCTTGATTGCTTGTCTCATGATGCCTGGATGGGTAATGCATTGGTTGTGGCGGGTGATCTCTTTGTGATTTCGTCAAGTGTGGCTGTAGATGAAGGTTAGGATGTTGATTGTTCCTGACATTCAGTGCCTTTTAGATGTTTCCATATTTGTGGTTGTGTTAGTATGCAAATCCTGAGTGAAGATCTGCAGTCCATGTGTGGGTTTTGTTGAGATTTTCTATAGTAATAAATTTAAAGTTAATTCAGTCACCTGAAAATTTTCTTGTGGGCTTCAAGAGGTGAGAGCTCAAGCCTATTACATTCTTTTCAGTAAAAATCTTCTCAGCAAAGATGCACTTTATTCTTACCGCAGGTTAGAATAAATGACACTAGCCATATTGCTTTTTATCTCTTTGAAATGCAATGACATGCCTGTAAGAATGGTGTTCTAGAGTAGGGGCTTATATTCCTTCTGTTAAAATATATGAAAAAAAAATACAGTCAGCTTATGAGAGGACTTCAAAAATTGCTACTGGCTTCTAAAGAAAACTTTCTCTGTTTTTATTTGTAGGAAATGGATACAACATACGTAATCTTCTGAATAAAGAAAGTGTTCTTCTCTTCACACAACTCAAAAGAGACAGGTGAAGAACTTGCTGCAGAAAAATTTGCTGAAACACTTGTAAAGCTTTTGTATGTTTACCAGGGTTTTTTTTTTACATAGAAAAAGTGCTTTAGTGCACCCAGCTTAACATTTCAAATTGATACAAAGCAGCTGAAATCAATGGAAGAAGAGTTAAGAGCAAAACCACAAGAACCTCAGTAGTTTGCTAACGAACAGGAATGACATACTGAGAGGCTTCAGTCTGCATCAGTTACTGTTCTTGTGTCATCCAAAACCAGAAAGATATACATGTGAAATCTGTGGGTAAAGCACATTGGTGTTCCACATTGTATTTATATACCTAATCTTCCTAAAGATGCTTAGCACTAGAAAAATTTTTGACATCTTCAGCTAGCATCTGATAGTTTTAATGTCTGCCTGGTACAAACTGTATAGAATAATCTCTATTTAAATATAGGACCACGCTGTTCACATTCCAGTAATTCTTGTCTAGGAAGTGGGCTGCTGGAATCTTGTGTGCTGGGGTCCAGGCACCTTCTACTGTGTTAACAACATGTGTTTCTTCCTTGTCTAGCAGATGTATGGTTAGTGCCACAAACTGTAAAATGGGAGCTCTTAAGTAGGAACTTACCAGTTTTATTTTTCACATGGAAGCTATGGCTTGATTAGCTCTGAACACTGTGGATAGCTTTATTTGGTGTGACAGGGATAAATCATTAGCAAATGTATTACTTTAATATCTCCTTTCGTTTTACTTGCTGTGTTCCTGGATAATATTGAGGACCTTTGGGAAAACTGTAATTATACTGTATACTCCAGAAGCCAAGTCTAGACAACAGATGGTATATACAGCATTTATCTCCCAAGCTCTTTAAGGTTCCTTCTGGCTGAAGATAAGGATAAACTACAGGTATTCTGGTAGGGTGCTTTCTCTCAGTGGTCACTGGTATTCTAGAAGAGAATGAGATAAGGAAAATTGAAAAGGAATCATAAACTTTAAGGACTTCGGGATTGCAAACAGCCTTGGCCATGATCTTTATGCTGAATCTAGAGTATACATTAATGCAGAAAAGATAAATTGGCTTTAGTGCTTCCCTTAAGCTTTCAGCTGCCAGCTAACTTCCTGTGTCTGTGAAAGAGCTTGGACACCAAGATTATGATGCATCTGTGCGTTGTGATGCATCTAAACTTCCCTTTAGACTGGGGATCTTGAGATTTTTTTTTTTTTTATCATACTCCTTCAAGAAGCATGTTCCTATGGGTAGTGTGTATATATAGACCAACAGTGAAAATACTTAGCAGAAGTTATGTAGCATATTTGCGTTTGTGGCTGGGTCATGCTTAACTCGGAGAAGATGAAACAGGAACATGCCTGTTGCAATTTAGTTCTTCCTCTGTCTTGATATGAACTATTTGCTGCCAAAGTTCAGGCTGCATAGAAGGATCTTTCTTCTTTTTTTCGCAGCCTCAACTTCCATAAGCAGTTTAAAAGTTGAAATAATAATAAAAAAAGGACATTAAGTTACAGCTGATAATTTGATGTTGGCAGCTTGTCGAAATTTTGGGCTTGGGTTGGTCTTTTCAAGGTCAACAAGATTCAAATACTGTCTCTTCTGTGTTGGAGCCATACCAGCTACCAGATGGGCACACAGGCTGTCTCCACTGCTTGAGGGGATCCCAACCACTAAAACGTTTAAGTCTTTCAGCTTCTCAGGCCTGCAGAGGTCTGGAAATTTGCCATTTGGAAACAGTACATTAGGATGAAAGATCCTCTGCTCTTCGCCCAGGCCTGTCTTCCTCCTTTCAGGGCATGGATGTGGTGGTCTTTGAGCCCAACAGCCATTGATTCCAGATGGAGGTCAGAACAAGACTACTTTTCATTTGTGTTAAGGGCCAGGGAGTTACCCTGCAAATATTCTTCTGCATTACCTGAAGAGGTAGCAGAGGGGTATGTGCTTAAGGGGTTAGTGAACATATATAGACTATGGAGCTCGTGGCCCTAGAAGAAAGAAAGTGTGGATGTATGCTGTGGTGGAGCTCAAGGCAGTTTGCTGCTTTCTAGCAGTGTTCCAGTTCAGTGGTCTCAGATGAGAGGTGGTACATTGCCTTTGTTTTATTGAGCATTGATGTCTCTTCCCTCACTGCACTATACTGCAACTTGGCAGGAAGGTTTTGAGTGGATTTTCTTTTGGGTCATGAGTAATGATGAGAACTATGTCTTTCAGGATGTTTTCTTAAGCAGAAATAACGTATGCAGACCTTTTCCTGACACAGGCTGGAAAGTGGCAGATGTTCAAGAGCAGGTTCAAGGTCAGCGGGCCATGAATACTTCTTTGTGTTTTCCTAGTGTTATGGCTGGGAGCGTCAACAGAATAAGGTGGTTTTGGTAAACCATGTAACTTTTTAGGCTGGATGGTTTTGTTGCTTCCTGGCTCGTCAATTTCTTGGGAGAAATGCCCTATATAGTTTGCAGAGAACATTTTGTAACTGGAATAAATCTCAAAATGTTTGTTTTTCAATTTAAGTGGCAAAATCAGTTGTGCCAAGTGTGGTGTATGTAGGATGTTGCTTTAGTTTAGCACCAGTTCCACAATTTGTCACTAGATGGAGCTTAAAGCACAGTCGTTTGTCTTTGGCAGGCATATATGTTCAGTTGGGTTTGGTTTTTGAAAGGAAGGAGGAAGAGTGTGTTATAGGTGGAGATAAATTCAGTTGAATTCTGTTGCAAGAAGACGTAAATCAGTCTCCATTAACATTAGGACTTTGCACTGAACCTTGTTAAATTTATTCTGTTAGAATGTATGTTCTACTACTTGTAGCCACTTGCTCAAAGTTGTCTTTTAAAACACCAGTATACATCAGGAGTTGAGTTGAGTTGAGCTAGGTTGCTCACCATTTGTCTGAATTGCATTTTAGGTTTTTTTCTTAAACTTGACACTTGTGAAAAAACTTGCTTCTGTGCCATTAGTCTGAATATAATGTGAAGAGGTGCAGAAGAATGTTCTGAGCTCCAGGACACGGGTGCTGAGTTGGGCAGGGTGGCAAGCAAGATCAGTTATTAGTGAGAAGAAGCTGCTGCTGTTTCATCTCTACCTGCACTGGCTTTGTCTCCTGCTTTCACACTTTTGCTACTAGTAGTTGTGGGTAACCTTCGGTAGTCTAATTTTTATCTTTACTGAAGAGGATATTGCAAAGAAAGAAAAAAGCCTTCTCTGAAGGCTTATGTGTGATTCTTTTTATCAGCAAATTTCCTATTCTGTTGCGTGATCTAACTCCCACTGACTACTACTGTGATGGTTTCAAATAGTTATGTGGCAAAATTAGTTAGAATTGGTAAAATACTAAATTAATAGCTCATACAGAGCATGTTGTGGCCTGGAGCTTAAGTATATATTCTTACTTAGGGTTTCTGTAATGTTATTTGCTTGTTGTAGCTTTTGAAAGAGCTTTTAAATTACTTCGTAAACTAAAATGGTTTACATATTCAGCTCAGATGGCACCACTTTTACTTAGCATCAGAGTACAGAACATCACCTCTAATAGTGGTAGAAATCTGAGCCAGGTTTGTGCTACACTAGGCCAAAGTTGGTTAGCCAGCATTACCTGCTGTAGAGTGAGCTGCGATCGTTGTTGTGAAGGAGGCTTGTCGGCCTTTCCTGTTGCCTGTGTGGTACACATGCTGCTCCTGGAAGGGATCACTGGTTTCTGTCAGCAGTAATTGAGAGCTGGAAACAAAAATGTGTGTCATCAGCTTCATGTTAGTAGGCCTAGGTCTTCTATGGTAGATATTCTGGTAACAACTAGAGGCTTATTTTAAGGAGGACAACTGAAAATGTCCCACCAGAATAAAAAGTCAGATTTTTGAAGGCTTTGACTCCCTTTGGGAAAAAAAAAAAAAGGCCACAAAACCCCCCCCCAAAACAACCCCAAAACAAAAAACACCACAAAAGTCAAACCCAAAACTTTACTGGTTAGTAGATTCTTTGGAAAATTATTTTTTTGTAGTTTCGTTTGGTTAGAAAGCTGTTCCTATTTTACTACACCAAGCTTTTTTGCAGGTTAAAGCAGCAGAAGAATGGTTGCAAAACTACGTACTTACACAACTTCGTAAACATAAAATAGGAGAATATGATCTGAGTAATTACAGAAAAATAGCGCCAATAAAGCAAACTGAAGCACATACACGATTTCTTCTGGTTTTCAAGTACACAGCTGAATTGGTTATCTGCAGAGGATTTTAAATTAACGTTTGGGGAATGCAGCAAGCCTAAAGAGCTATTTCCTCATTTCACAACAGCTGAAAAGGCATTTCAGCATGAAGGAATATTTCTTGCATTTCGGCTGATGTATAGACTCTGCATGATGTCTTTTGTAATACAGGATTTACTTGAATCGGTGATTGATTGCAGGTAATACATTTAACTGAAGAGTATAGAACATGCCTTTTAAATGGTATTGACAGCTTTTGTGACTGAGTATCTTAGTCTTTCCAAGCTGGTACCTTTCCTCTTCAGAAGAGATCTTGAAGCCAAACGTTTCTCAGATTGCATGTAAAAGCTTCCTTTAGGATTTGACATCCAAAGTGATTCCTATGATCCAGTTCTAAGATGAAAACGGTAGTTGATCATCAGTCAAACCAGTTGACTGCAAGATTATTAAGGAACAAATACACTAAAAGGCATGTCTGCAGAACTGCTCTGCATTCTTTAGCCCATCCACAAAGCTCCTGTTCTGATTTGCTTCATTTAAACTCCTGTGCCCAAGTAAAGGCGCACACAAAAGATTGTAAAACCACCTTTACTGTGCACTTCTTTGCAGTTTTTTTGTGACTGGAGCACAAGAGGGGCAATAATTGAAACAGAAGCTGAAAGAAGTGAAGTGTTTACTTTCTCAGTCTGACTGTTGAGATGCAAATCTGAAAGTGTTTACAAAAAAGCATATTAATGGCTCCAGTAAGATTTTTAATTTCTCTTTCCAGCTCAATAGGTAAGGACTTTTAAATTTGAAAACTGGAGGATTGCAG